TGGATAGAGGCTCCAGGGCAGTTGTGGGGACTCCTGGCCAAAATCCACAGCAGAAGACAGAACAGGTAGTAGATACATCATGTCCAGACAGAGAAGTTTGGAGGTGACCACTCCAGAGAGTCCTTGGAAGGGATCCAAGGGCTGAGTGAGGATGAGGGAGGGCCCAGACCTTGGGGTAGAACAGCATCCCCCAGAGACTTTTCTCATCTACAGGCATCACAAGACTCTCAGGGCAGGTGCAGGGGTTGAACAACAGAAGAAGGCAGGCGAGAGACAGAGAGTCCAAAGCCCAGGCCTTCCTCTAGCCTCCACACCACCAGTCCATCCCCATCCTGTTTCCCCATTTGCTCAGGAAAACTGATGAAGAGTGGACCTGACCTTCCCTGGCAGCCACAGTCCCCTCCTCTCCAGGCTGCAAAACAGGTGCATGCATGAATCCCTCTGGTTGATCCCGGGGGGGGGGGGGGAGACACACATATTTACCTAACTTTTCCTTCTCTCCAGACCTGGAGTTTCTGCAGGTGGAGAAGAAATGCCCAATTCTTCACAACCTTGGGCTCCTACACAGTCAAGATCCCAGCCTTCCCCTGGCCAACTGTGTAACCTGCGACAAGATCCTGCCACTCTCTGAGCTTTGAGGGGATTTCTAAGGTTCACTGGGTACTGACCAGCTAACCCTCAGCCCAAATGAGTCTCACTTCACTATCACCCTGCTGCCTGACACCTGTAGGTGCCACCACGTCTCCAAGTTTTGCATGTGTGGAGATCCCTGCCTGGATACCTCCCACCAGCTTCGCAGGCTGATCATCCCTCATCCTGTTTCTTTCACTATCTGGCAGACTACTGGAGGCTCCAAGGCTGGGCTAGGTACTTCCTCCACTCATAGCCCCAGCAACTGGGCCACAACATGTGCACAGTGTGCTTCCATCTCCCCCGCTCCAGATGGTGGGGTCCATGGTCGCTGCTGTGTCCCAATACTAGGCCCACAAAGATGCCTCTGTAAATACCTGAGCAACGTGAGTGGTGCTGATGGGCAGGACCCACAAGGATGCAGCACAGTGGAAAGGGATGAGGGCTGTTGAGCCATGTGACTGCCATGTTCTGTGACCTTAGGCAATGTATTTCACCACAAAGTCTTGGTCTTCCCAATCCCTAACAGGGGATAATAGTCACCAAGGCTACCCCACAGGATTCTTTTAAGAATGAAGTGAAATGATCACAGAAAGGGTATGGCATGTTGGAAACCTCTGACAAGGTGTTTGGAAGTTCCTGAAAAACAGCCTTTGGGGACAGGCCAAGGAGATGAAGGGAGAAGTCTGATGTATCGACCCACTATTCTCCAGCCACATCAGGCTCCAGCCTGGTCCTTGAAAAATGCCAGGCTCCTGCCCACCACAGGACCTTTACACTTGCTCTTCCCTCCATCTGGCATGCCTTTCCCACCATTCATCTCATGCTCCACTCAAATGCCACCTTCTCAGGGAGGCTTTCCCAGGTCCCTTAGGCATGATACTGGAACTTTGTTTAATACCTTCACAGTCTGTGTCACTACCTGCACTTACAATATGTGTTTAGTTACTTGTCATCCATCTTCCCTTCTAGAATACCTTTGCCCAGAGGGCAGGAACTCTGGCCTCTTTTGTTAATAGCTGTTTTCCCAGCACCCAGAACAGAGCCTGGCACATAGTAGGTGCTCAGTATTTAATGCATTAATAACAAATCTTGAGATGGGGACAAAGTGAGATACCCTTTTGCAGGGCAAACCAATGCACCAAGGGGTGGCAGGCATCCCCGACTCCCCAGTCTTTCCCTAGCCACTAGAGGGCACAAGCTGTTTTGGCCCATGGCTCTGGAGCAAGAATTCCCAAGACTGAAAAGAGGACCTGAGAAAGACTGATGGGAATAAGGTGTACCTGGGGAACAGGTATGCTTGAGGCAGGTTGCTCAGGATGCCAAGATGGGCATCTGGGTCCAGTTAGTTCTGGCTCAGAGGTGGGAGCCAGGCCAACCTGGGTTTGAGTCCTAGCTCCTTGCCACCTAAGGGGGGGGGGGAGGGTCTTGGTTTTCACAATTCTAAAATGGGAAACTAGAGTGCAAAGAGAAGGCTCTGGACTTCCAACTCAGACCCTGCTGTGCTATGTAACCTGGATCTCTCTAAACTTTGGGGAACAGGCTGAATGTTCCTTCAGGGCCACAGGGCCCACCTTCTTACCAGAAATGCCACCTCTGCCATCCAGAATGTCCCGGGGGCCTTCTTTGGTGATAGGCAGGTAACGGGTAGACCTGAAGATGCTACCTTCCCCTTCAGCAGCCTCGGCCCCACCCTCGATGTCCTCCCTCGGAGCTGGGCCAGGCAGTCTCTCTGGGCCTCGAGGACGATCTGGGGCGGCCAGGCCACCTGCCAGGGGCCCCTCCATGGGTGCTCTCTGCTTGACTCCTCTCAGTGCTGGATTGGCTCAGCGGGTCATTGTGGGTCTGGAGACAGAGAGGGGGCAATGCTTAGCAGAGGTAAGAAAAGGACTTCTCAGTTTTTTCTCCCTCAAAACTCTAATCCTTACCCTTGTAGTTCATTCCCTCAGTTTACCTCCCAGTCCAAGTGGGCTAGATAAATGGTGCTGAGGTCCCATCCTTACATATTATATTCCAATGACCCCTTCTAGCAGCATGCCTCCATCTCCCACGGATAACCCCTTTATTTACTGAGATCCTTTCCTGCCTCAGTTTACCCCATTTTTACACTGCACACCCAGCCACCTTATTTTCTTCCATCATGAATCCTATCACTTTTCTCAGATTCCTCTGTCCATTCACAGACAGCGTCACCTTAGCCAGTCGCACCCTGGCTTCTCTGCACGTGCACACCTATGGCCATGCCTGTTTCCTCACATCCCAGCCACTTCCACATTCTGACCCTATACACTTACTTAAGTCCCCCCATCATTACCCTTTTACTTTTCTCACTTGGGTTGCCCATATCAATTACCCATGCACTTTTCCCACACTCCAACCCTCCCCCGAAAGACCTTAGGGTTCTCCAGCGTTAACCCCTTCACACCCACATACAGCCTCAAGTGACCCTACCAATTAACCCTTTTGCTTCTCACCAGCATGATCCCTCACGCGTACCCAGCCTGGGTTCCTCCATTCCCCACCCTCCACCAAGAATGCTCTGGTCCGAGGCCAAAAGGGACCCCTGGGGCTTCTGGTCCAGAAACGAGGACCCCAGGGAAAGGGGGCTGTCTCTCCACCTATAAATACCTTCAAGGTAACGGCAGAAAGTGAAGGGCAGGAATGAGGCGCCCTCCCCAGGGAGATGGTGGGGAGGCCGGGCCCAGGCAACCGGGGCGGGGCCGGGGCTCCAGGCCTGGTTGCAGGCGCTGACCTCAGGGGGCCTGGGGCTCCCAGGGGGCCTGTCGGTGGGCTGGCAGTCTTGGTGGGGGTTCCTGGCCAGGCCTGGAGGAAGCACCTGCAGGTGCCCACCGGGTGGGCACTGCCCGCGGGGAACAGGCTGGACCGCAACTTCGGAGCACTTTGGCAGCTTGGGGAGGGGGCTCCCGGCCAGACGCCCCCAGAGGGCCGCAGAGACGGGGGCTGCGCCGCGCTGGCGCACCCCTTGGGGGTCCTGGGTCCCGGGGATGCGCGCTTCGCCCGTGCACCCCGGGGCGGGAGACCCCGCGGGGCCGCCGAGGTAGGGGGAGACACCTGCCTGCCCCAAGACCCCCGCCCCTCCCCCCACCTGCACGGCCCCGCCCCCGACCAGGCCCCGCCCCTGCAGGCCCCGCCCCGCCCCCCGCCCTGGGGGGTCCCGCCTGGCCCGGCCCGGCCCAGGCCTCCCCCTCCCCGCTCCGGCTCCGCCCCGCCCTCGGGTTCCCCAGGCCCAGTCGGGCCTCACCGAGGAGGCGGTGCCACCGGTCGGGTGCCGGGGCTCGGAGCTCCCCTCCTTGGTGCGGTCCTCCGCACCGCTACCGCTGCTGCCGCTCCCGGTGCCGGTGCCGCGGCCTCCGCAGCCGCCGCCGCCTCCACCGCTCGGGGGACATTGTCCCTTTAAATCGCTCCCCCCGCTGCCCCGCCCCCCCGGCGCGCAGCCGTGACCTCAGCGCGACAGCCCCGCCGCGCCGCCATGATGGGGAGGTCTGGGGAGCCCCCACCACCCCCACCACCCCCCACCGCGCGCCGCCCTGCTGGGGGGCGGGGGGGCGGCCAGCGGGCGCGCAGCCATGTTGGGAGTGTCCAAGCAGGTCACCCTTAAAGGGCCCGCGCGACCTCAGTGTCCAGGGAGAGGCTCTGTTGCCATGACAACCCCCTTGTCCTCGCCCCCAATGGCTCCCATCACCCCGCTGGTCCTTCCAAAGCTAGGTTTGCTAATAGCACCAGAGGAGTGGGAAGGGGGCAGAGAAGTTCCTCCATGGGTCATTCATAGGTCATTGAGAACTCCACCCAATCCTTAGTTCCAGTCCCTTGTCCACTTCAGCTGTCTTCCAACCACAAACTCACTCCATCCTTCTCCATCGTTCACACTGGACTTAAGCATCTCCATGCCCCTAGAGCTGCCCTAGATCCCCATTGCTAAGGCCCCCTAATTCACTGCCCCTCCAGGACTAGCCTATTACAAGACTGCTATCTTCTCCCATCTACGGTTCATCTACCTTCCCATCCTTTCATCCACATGCCTAATCAGTCATCCACTCCTCTACCCGTCCAATCAACTAATCACCTACCATCCACCCCTCCAACCACCTATTCATCTATCCAAACACACACTCATCTATTCACAACCCACCTACATGCCCGTCCCTCCACCACTTAAGAAAATATTTATTTATCTGGAAAACCAAGTAAGCACCCAATCATCCCAATTCACTTCCTTTCACTCTGCCACCCATTCATTCGTCATTTTCATGTTTGTTTATCTTCTCCACACGAGGACAAGGGTCCTGTGTTCATTGTTTCCCCACAGCCCAGCTCAGTTTCAGAAGATCTTAACAAATGTACACACAATATATATAATCACTTAACTAATTCAAATATTTATTTCCTACTATGAGCCAGGTCTTTTCTAAGTAGACATATCCATCCTGGTTACCTGCCTACCTAACTAGTCATCTATAGGTCAAACATCCAACAAATACTAACCTATTCACCTGCCTAATATTCCACCCTACCCCTCACCCATGATTTAAAGGCCTACTAATTTACTCACCATTCACCCACAGAACTTCACATTTCCTTACCCTTCCTTCATCTGCCTCCCAGACTACGCTCTCCATGCCATGAGGGAGCTGGTTTGGGATTTGGGGTTTAGGAGAATTCTCTTATCTGGAGCCTGAGGATTAGGTAGGGAGGGTGGTATGGGATAAATGGGTTGTAGGACCCATGCTTCCTTGAGAAACAGGTACTGCCTATACCAATGATGAATACCTTTTTTTGAATACTTTTAGGGGTCTTCCACGGTGTAGGAGAACTTCAGATCCATTTTATAGACAATGAAATAAAGGCTTCTAGAGTGATGGCCTAAGGTCACATAGCTGGTGAGAATGTGCTTACATTTCCCTTCCATGAGACCTCAAATTAGGAGAGAATTTGGGAGAACTGAATGGGGGTGAGGGGTTACTCCGTGATTAGCAAACCTTAGGGACAAACAAACCACTGATTTTACTGAAATTAAGATTTTACTGGGCAACCTCATAGTGCCAGAGTGGTTGGTTGGCACCTACAGTGCCACTCTCCACTGTAGGTCACATAGGGCTAAAGGCAGGGTCAGATACCCTCCTAAGTCGGCTCTCTGCTCCCAGACCACATGGGATAGAGAATGGGCAGCTCAGGTGGTATCTCCATTGATGCAAGGTTCTTTGAGAGGCAGGGGCTGACTCCGTGACTCTGGTATCTTTGGACGAAATTGTAGGTTCTGAACAGCATCCCTCAGCTGGGCCTGAGTATGCTCCATGTTAGTCAGGCGGCGCTCCTGGGGAGGCAGTGGAGGTGGGTTTGTAGCCAGAGAAGGATTGATCTCCAGCCCTGGCTCCTTTCCAGCCCAGATCTTCCCCAGGGCTCCAGCAGGAGTCTTACCATATTTTTCAGCCTGTGACCCTCACTACTTGAAAGACCACCCTCTGGATTCGACTGCAATGCCCTGTAGGGGTCAGGGGCAAGGGGGAAAGAACAGAGGCTGAGAAGTCTCTTTCAGCTCTAGGTAGGACAGGAGACCCAGGGGGCGGGGCTTGAAGTGAAGGCAGGGTTTGTTTTGGCTGGAGGGTGGGGCCTAAATATGTCTGAAGAGAGGTCTGATCAGAGCTGGCATGGATAAGATGTGAAGACAGGTAATCAACGCCTGGAGGTGGAGATTGGCCCCTCCTGGGAGGGGTTGTGACAGGGTGGGAGAGCCACCAGGCTAAGTGATCCCTGTCCTGGCCCAACCTGATTAAGAGGGACTGATTGAGGGGGGCGACCTGGAGAAGAGGACTTGTTAGGGGACTGACCACGCTGCAGAGGGGCGGGGCTGCCAGGGCCTGGACCTGTGGCTTGGGGACGTGTCCGTGTCCGTTCAAGGAGAGATTTGGGAGCCCTGAATGAAAGCCGAGCTTGGTCATAGTGGCTCAGGCTTGTAATTCTAGCGACTCAGGAGGCTGAGGCGGGAGGATCACAAGTTCGAGGCCATCCTCAGCAATTTAGTGAGGCCCTAAGCACCTTAGTAAGAACTTTTCTCAAAACAAAAAAATAAAAAGGGCTGCGGATGTGACTCAGTGGTTAGCCTCTGAGTTCAATCCCGGGTAGGGGTGTGGGGGGGGGGTAATGCGGAGCTTGGTGAGATCTCATTGGTGCGGCCCGATTGGAGGTGGAACTAGTGGAGAGGGCGGGGCTCACCTAGGACTGAGCCTAGAGTCTAGGTCCTGCAGCTGACACCGCAGCTGCTCCTGCTGCTCGGTCAAAGCTTGGATGTGGGTACTTAGTGATTCCACGAGGCGGGACAATGCTTTCTGCTCCTCGCGAAGCGCCGCCACTTCGCACTGTAGCTCTGCCAACTGTGGGGAGACAGCAGCTGTTATCTGAAGCGTCATCTCGTTTCTTCCTTTCCCCAGAGATCCTGATCTGCTTCCCCACGGTTCTGCCATATAACGTTCCTGTTATACGGAGGGAGAAACTGAGGCTCAGAGAGGGTTAGTCTGGCCCTGGAGTCACGAAGTGCCGCGAGCTTGGTATTTGAACTCAGTCTTGCCTGGCTTTCGGTCTTTCCTCCAGTCCCGTTCCTATCCACTCCCAGACCCCGCGCCCACATGGACCTGGGCCAGACCTCACCTTGCCCACCGGGCGGTGCGAGCCCAGAGCCTGGTCTCGGTCCCGCGGCTGGTCCAGCTGGCGCTGCCAGGGCACCGATGGCTTCCGAGGCAGCGAGGCAGAGGCCCCCGTCCAGGGTCGGCCGCGGGGCGCGGGGCCGGCGTGCAGGGAGCCTTTGGGTCGCGGCCGGGGCCCGGCAGATGGACGGCGGCGGGCAGGGCGCCCGGCGGGGACGCTCTGGGTGCGCTGCACTTGCCGGGGGCGCCGCGGGGGGCGCTCCTCATCGGGTCGGGGCCGGGCCCAACTCCCTGCACCGTGAAAGCTGCGCAGAGACTGGCTCTTGGAGATGAGAGGGGTGTGCTTGGGGAGGTCCCGGGGGGCCAAGAAGCCGGGCTTCTCCCCTGCGGAGAAACTGGGGTGCCATCGAGAATCTCAGACCCTCAACTAGCCCCTGAAATGACCCCCGCCCATTGGCCAGAAATGACCCCATCCCTGTGACCTTGTCCCCAAAGATCATATTTTAACCTATGACCCTAATGAGACCCTATCCTTGATTTCTGACTACATTCTGTCATCTCTATGACTCTTGACATAACCTTTCCTCTCTTTCTAGCCTCTCCCCTGACCTCTGACACTTGTAATCCTTGATCTGATCCTTTCCATTACCTCTGATTACATTCTGATCCTGGGTTTGACCTCTGCTTACAAGGGCACCCTCTTCCTTAGCAATGTGGCCCCATCTTCTCCCCCAACAAATGTTACGCTGATCCTGTTGTTCCTGTTCATTGGTAGAATATGATCCCTGACCTTGAACCCAAATATGACCCTGCCCATAATGCCTGACCTCATCTGACCTAAGCCTGACCTCTGCTTACAATATGAATCTGCCCTGACACTTGATGACTATGTTCTAACATCTGATCTCAAACCAACCCCTGATTTTACCCCCTCCACAACATCTGATTGAAAAGTGACCTTAGATCTCTGATTGCAAAGTCACTCTCTCTCTCTGACATGAGGTGACCTCTCTCTGCCCTCCAACATGACTCTATCCTCACCTTATATTCAATCTGACTTGGTGACTAGCTGCCCTCTACCATATGTGAGCCCCTCACCTCTGGTCTCTGTCCATTCTGACACTGTCCCCACCATGGTCCTGCCCCACGATCCCTGTTATTTTCACTTGTGACCCCCCCCAGTGTGAGAGCCCTGCCTCTGCTCCCAACCATCATAACCCAGACCAGACTTGAGGTTACCTGGAATGGACCTGGGGTGATGGAAGACGCATTGGCACAGATACAGGGACAGGCTGGCCCTCCTCGATGGCCCTCAGGATGGTGGGCAGTGGTTCCAAGCTGTCACGGGTTGTCTGGTGAGGCATGCAAGGAGGATGTTAAGTGAGCTTCTGGAGCCAGAGTCTCCCAGGCTTTTTGCCTTCCCAGGGCTTTGTGCTCAGGTCACACCTGGTCAAGCTCAGCAAAGATCGTACAGAGCTGGGCATGCAGGACTGCCAACTGGAGAGCCAGGTCGCTACTGCCTTGGTAGCCACTGGGTGCAGCATTCACATCCACCATGGCCACCTGGTCCAAGAAGTGTTGCATAGCTGGTCCATGATCTTCCAGGAAGGTATTCATGAAGCCCATGTAGGCTTCCTTCTCACCAAACCTAAATCAGAGCCAGGCTGGATGAGTCAGGTCAGGCATCTTGCCACCCTTGTGCCCCCAGCATGGCCTCCCAATCTCCCAGCACCTACGGGGCACGGTTGGCGAGGTTCTGGATAACTTTGGCAATTAATGTGAGGGTGCGAGCTGGACCAGGTGCTGGGTGCTCTGGTGCCAGGCCAAAGAGGCTGGGTGCCAGGAGAGCAGGGCATAGGAGCCTCAGGAAGAGGGAGGCACACACTAGTCGGGGGCCCAGTGCCTCGGAGCCACGTGCTTTGCATGCTTCTCTCCAGCTTGAGAAGACAGTGCCCAGCTCTGACGGGAACCAGCTAGGGCAGAAGAGATAATAGTCAGAGGAGGCAGCTATGGGCGTAAAGGTCCTGGATGGTTAAGGTTATAAGAGCAGGGGTCATACATCAAAGGAAGCATTGCATGGCTTGTCTATGATCCCCCAAGGAGCTACTCATGAAGCCATGTAGGCTTCCTTCTCACTGGGGTCCAGGTACCAGGATTGAGGATTTAATGATACTTGGGGTTATAAGTCCCCATAAGGTCAGTACTTATAGTGTAGTTGTTATGGCAACCTCTGGAATCAGTACTCTTGGATTTGGTATCCTGGATCACATAGGAACAAAGTTCATGTGCTTGAGATGTAGTTATAATTGGAGATGAGACTGAGGTGTCAGAGTATATGATATGAAGTAGGATGGGATTAGGGTTACAGGGCCACTTAGAGTCAGATGCCATGGGATTTAAGCACCAAAGTTAAGCTAGAGTCAGAAGTAGTCAAGGGACAGGAATCCCAGGTTTCCTGTGTTCAGTTTTATAGGATTTGGGATACAGGGTGACTTAAAGTTGGAGAGTCATGGGATTAGGGGTATGCATCATCTGGAACCAGAAGTCATAGGATTGAGGTTTCCTGTTAACTAGGGTCAAATGGCATGAAATTGGGGTATGGAACCTCCTCAAGGTTACCTGGGGTCAGGTGTCATGGAATTGAAGATATGGTTGACAGACAGCCAATAAAATTTCAGGACATTCTGTTAAACTTGACTTTCAAATAAATAACAAGTAATTTTTCTAGTGTAAGTATAACCCAAATATTGCATCAAATTTAACTTAGTGTCCTATATTTTGTCTGGCAGCCCTAACAGGAGGGTCGAAGTTATCACAGTGGCTGAGTGGTGGGGAATGGGGTGGGCTCAGGTGCTGGGTCCTTGATTCTTACTCATAGGAGTGAATGATGGTTTCAAAGACCTCCTCACAGCTGCTTCGAAGTCTGGACTGGTGCTGGGGCAGCTCTGATGCTGGGCACTTGCTGGGGTCCACCTCACAGTCCTCAGTGGAGGCACAGAGATGCTGAACAACCTCCCCTGAAGATAGGAAGAGCCAGATAAAGTCCAGGGTCATTATGACCCAAACCCACTGCACCCAGCCTTCAACCCATCTCTAACTTACTCCAGAGGCATCTAACATCTTGAGGAGTTTCCATTTCCCCCCAGGATACTAGCACCCCCAAAGAACCACCAGAATCCAGGCTACCCAGGGCCTCCTACATCTCTTCGGGTCCCTTAGCCCACCCAACAAGCCTTTAACACTAGCTGCTCCCCTCCCCAGCTCACCTAGGGTCTTCTGGAGGTAATCCTGGGCCACTAGCTTCATGTACTCATCAATGGCCTTGGTGGCTAATGTGTTTTCTCGGAACAGCAGTGCCTCACGGCCTCCACAGCGTGCGAGCTCGGCAGTGCCCAGGTCTGTTACCAACACCTGGATAAGGCAGGAGTCAGTCACGTTGTGCAGACTGAGCCGGGGTAATCTTGGCCCTAGACCCCGATCTTCACACCATTCTTCATTCTTGCCCTTCCTTGTTGACTGCCCACTCCTCACTTTTGGGGCTCATAGCTGAGACCAAAACCTCCACTCCTCACGGCAAAAACAAGCCCTGTATTACGGAGGCTCTGCTCAGGCTCCGCCCCTCGCAGCTGAAGTTCGAGTCCTGCCCCTCACAGGTGATGCTCAGGCCCCGCCCGAGATTCTCGTCCCTTACTAGTACTGCTCAGGTTTCGCCTCCCCACTCCACTATCTGTCCCTAGGTTGTCCCGGTCCCCGCAGTCGTAGCGCCTCACCTGCGCCCGGCCGGTGGCCTGCAGCACGCGCACCATGGCGGCTGCCAGCTCCTCCTTGGCCTGCGCAGGGAGCGCGGGCTCGAGCGCTCCGCAGAGGCGCGCGTAGTGGAAGGTGAGAAACTCCGCCAGCTCCTTGTAGCGCTCCGACGGCAGCACCCGTAGGCGTCTGGCCCGGATTCGCGCCCGCAGGGCCGCACCTGCTGGCTGCCCCAGCAGCGGGAACCAGCGCTCCAGTCCCGCCGCGGGCGCTCGGGGAGCGCTCAGCTCCTCCAGATTCAGCGTCACACGGCCCAGATCTGCTCCCGCTGAGCCTCCGCCGCGAAGCCTCAGTGACAGCCGACGGGCCGGTGGCAGCGCCTCGAAGTGGAAGCGCTCGGCCCAGAAGAGCTGGCCTGGGCCAGCCCGCGGTGCGGTGCGCGCCAGCAGCGCGCCATCTAGCCACAACTCGGCTCGCACGCCCGATGGCCCAGCCGCTCGGGGCAGCCCCTTCGCCTCGTGCACCCACACGCTCAGCCACGTCTCTTCCCGCTCCACGTTGTCCTGTGGGCAGGAACCAGGAGGCAGAGTGTTTCGGAGGCCTCAGCGCTCCAAGTTGGATAAGCGGGAGAAGCGCGGAGCGTCCAACGCTGTGCGCCCTGCCCTAAGGAGATTGCTGGCCCTTGGGAAAAAGCGTGGGGCCTCGGGGGTCCAAGATAACTAAACAGAAGGTTCTGGCTTTGGGAGGTGTTGCGGTTCCCGGAGAGATCGGGGCTCCATGATATAGAGGAGTAACGGGTAGGTAGGGTTTTGGACGCAGATCGTGCCAGGATGAAATAGAGGGGCTGTCTGATCTGTTGCTGGCTGGTGCCATCATAGATGGAAAGGTTGTGAAGGTGTGGGCGAGGGTGTTTCAGGGGAGAGAGTTTGGATCGCGCAGCGTTTGGGTAGAATGGAAGGGGCGCGCCCGGGGCCCATGGGCAGGGTCTCCATGTCCAGCTTTTCTCGGGTAATGAATGACCTGACTGGGCTGGAAGTGGCGACGAAGATCTTCAATCCAGCGATCTCTCTCAGCGCCCGAGCGACAGGAGAAGCAGCGGCTACCGCCCACCCACGTTACCTGTTGGGGCAGGGGATCCAAGGGCGTGGTTGAAGCCAATGGTGGCGCCAAAAGGTCGGGGGTGGGACGCAGGGGGAGGATGGCTTGCACTAACCTGGAAACAGTAGGGCTCTCCCAGGAGGCTGGGGTGCAGTGGCCAGACCCGCACCTCCCGTTCGGCACCCAGGTCCAGCTCAGAGAGTGTGGCCAGTGATTCTTTAGAGCCCATAGTACTGGGGGATGGGGGGGGGGGAGAAACCCATGAGCAAGCATCATTCCTCCCTTCCCTCCACACCCACCATAGCCTGAAGGGTAGAGGAAGGCCAGGAACTTGAACTTAAATTGGATCCTGTTCCTACCCTGTCTCAAGGTGGCCTGCATGACCTCAGAAAGACCAACCCTTGTCACCCTCTTTCTGAACTCCACAGTTGGCCTTGTTTTTTGATCCTTTCTGCCTCTTAGCCTTTGCACTTGCTGTTCCTTCTGCTTTTCCCAACCCTTGGCCTAACTTTCAACCAAGGTGTCAGCTAAAGTGTTCCTTCCCTGACCCTCACAGACCAGGGTCTTGACTTGGCTCCATTTTAGAGCTCACCCCAACCCTTCAACCAAAAGCAGGCTCTGTGTCAGGATATTTATGGCCCCAGCATCATGTGACCTGGGGCAGAACACAGAGGAAGGGATAGGAGGTGTTTAGGGAAGGTGGGATTGATAGGTGCTGGGGGACACATATTGAACCCCAGGCCCTCTGCCCGCTCCAGCCCCTCAGAGACCCTTACCCATCCCTGGAGGTATTGGCTCCCAGCTCAGACCTGGCCTTTTTCTTCTCTTTCAGCCTCTTGAGCAACCCCTGGGGAGAGGTGGACATCAGCTGGGAAGAACTCTGTGCTTCCTTCTCAGCTCTTTCCCTCCCAGATGTCCTGGAGGATCTGCTGGTCTCAGTGGACTCACACCAAACCCAGGCTGTATTACCAGCAATAATAAAGACAACCGGCAGCTTGCATTTCTAAAGCATCCACCATCAGCTTTTCTGCATTCTCTATTGACTCCTTGTAAACAGACCCAAGAGGAAAATTCTCATTATCTCTATCTGATGGATAGGGGGACACAGAGACCCATAGAGGATCAGCGACCTACACCAGATCAACCAGTAAAAGTGCCCCTTCAGCTCTGAGGGTTTCGGAGTCCTTGCTCACCCCTGCCCGCACTCCCCTCTTCCCACTGGCTGCCTCACCCGAACATTGTGGACCTGGTTGGAGCCAGCAGCCTCTGGCTCTGCCTTTCCAAGGGTCCGATCTGTGGGTAGTCGGAAGTGGCAGTTTAGGGCTTGGAATCATTTTAGTCTGCCCCACTTTGAGAGGCTCCCAAATACCCGAGCCTTCCCCGCCTCTCAAGAGACTTACCTGCATCCCTGAGGTTTCCCATGGCCACTTGCATGCTGCCTTCTGAGCTGGCACTTCCCACCCTTGGCCGGCGAGGACCCTGTTTTCCCACAGGAGCAGGCAGTGAGAAAGTGAGCAGTGAGAAAGTGGAGGGAGAAAGGCAGAGGAAGGGGCAGATGCCTTTCTCTCCCATGCCAACCCTATTTTGTCCCTTTCCCTCCTTCCCTCCCTTTGCCCACGTGCCCTCTCTCACTTCCTCCTCGCCCCCGAGCAGCACCAGCCTTCCATCAAGCAGGGTGAAGCCCCCAATATCCCAGACAGGCACATCAGGGGTGGGGGCCTCAGGGATCTGTGGGACATGAGGCTCCGGCTCTGGATCTGGGAAGAGAAGGAGGTGCTAGATGACTTAGTCATTTCTTCTCCCTCCAGTCACCGTCTCCATGCACCAAGGCTCATCAGCGGCCCCCTCTTAGGTGCACTCTCTGATAATCATGTCAGGCATGCATCTACCACTCTCTTGTCCTTGTCCCCCCAAACACACAGCCCACCCGCTTGCCCAGGTGACACAGTTTGTGAGTGGCCAAGCCAGGCTACAAACACAGCATTATTTTCTTAACCAAGGTAGTGGGTAGGTTCAAGAGGCTAAAACACAGGGGTTGGTGTTGTAGCTCTGTGGTAGAGCCCTGGCCTAGCACATGTGAGGTACTGGGTTTGGTCCTCAGCACCATATAAAAATTTTAAAAAAAATCACTAAAAAAGGCTAAACAGGACAGAAGCCATGAGTCCTTATACAAATAAGTCTAAGGTGGAAAGATTCAAAGTTTGAGAAAGAACAGAAAAACCTCAGGGTAGGGGGAGGTCCCTTTCTTGGGGAAGGGGAGGTAGCAGTCAGTGGGTCAGGAAGGCTTCCCAGAGAGAATAAGCTCATGGTAGATCTTGAACAAAAGGCTAGATTTTGGTAAGCAGAGATGAGAGAAAAGGTGGCAGGAACATCTTGAGCAAAGACTGATGATGAGCACAGCCCAGAGACACAGAGGGGAGGGCTCGGAGGCAGGAGGAGAAAGCCCAGGAAGAGATGGGAGCCAGGTCTTGGGTGGAGGTTTCCCTGTTGGAGGAACTAGGGTTTTATTCTAAGGGTAGTAGAGACCCATGAGAGGTGTTTGAGCAGATTTGCTTGTTGGAGTGCTTTCTCTGGATCCTATGCAGTGAACAAGCCTTGACATCCTGGGAGGAGATGCCTCTGCAAACTAGAAATATGAATAGAGAGATTTAACTGAGCTCCCAGTAATAGAAGAGTGGAATCAGCCCTGTCAAATGACCGCCTGCTCCCTTGCTTTACCACTAGGGGCAACAAATGATAACTCCTACTTATTAATGGATCACTTACAATATGCTGGGCTGGGCTTGTGCCACATTCCTGAGCTCTAATCCTCATGATATCCATTACCTTCTAGATCCCTTGGCACGACACTTGGAACCATCTGTCATTTTTTTGTTGACCTTTTTTTTTTTTTTTTTACTGTCTGTCGCCTCCACCCACCACCACCACCACACTGTGGGCTCCACAGGGCAGGGAATGTCATCTGCCTTGTTCACTTGTGCATCTTAGTGCCTCAACCGGGGACTGGCACATGATCCATGCTCAACAAAAGCCTGTCTGAATGAATAAATGGAGGGATGAATATGAATGAATGAAACACTGTGACCTTCAAGGTGGAGATCATCATTTTCCCGCTTAACTAATGGGGAAGTGGAGGCTCAAAGGAGACCAAGAGACACAGGTAAGACTCAAGGCTGGAGATCAGAAGGCAGAGGAGGTGGGTATCCAGGCAGAAGAGACGGAGCCTAGACCATTGAATACAGGAGAGACCTGTTGGGGCTGAGAGCCATTTGGCATCTGGACAGTACTCATGTGCTCTGCTCCGTCTCCTTTCCTCAGTCTGAAGCCCCTGACATAGGTCCTTGGCAACTCTATGTCATCCCTCTTTAGGTGAAAAGAGGGAAGAGGGCTGCCGGCCCCAGTCACTTCCTGCTGGGCTTCTGCACTCCCCACAACTTCCTGTGTCTAGAGGGCTGATGCTCTGGTGGCAGACAAAACCCAAGCATCCGGCCACCCAGCCCTGCCCAAGTTCAGGGTGGGGGGAAGCATGTACCTGGGGCTTCTGGCTCCAGCTCTGGCTCCTGCGGTGGGTGCTTATGTCTTCCCCAGAGGGTCCTGGATAGCCTGAGGCGACTGGTCCGTGACTCCTTGGGGGGTGCAGAGAGGACCCGACGGAACAGCAAGCGGGGGGCTGGCTGGCTGCTAATCATGGGCTCCTGGTGGCTCAGTGCTCTTCCCCAACCAACGAAGCGGCCCCAGCGGAACCCACCAGTCCCCTTCTCCCCTCCACCTCCTGTGTGCCAGCGGTAGGATGTCGGCAGAGGTGGGGCAGCGGGCTGGGTTTGGGAGCTCTGTCTGGGTGACTCCATGGTGGAGGCTCTCCTGTAGGACTAGAGAGAGACAGTGCTGCCCAGTGTCTGCCCACATACTTTCCGCATCTTGACTACCCCTCGGTTCTCAGCTCTACCTCCAGATAACCCACTTGGGGGGCCACATGTATTATCCCTCTTACCTTGATTTCCTGGCCAGCCCCAGAATCAGCAGCTTTCTGCACCCTGCCTGGCTTCCTCCCGCTGAACCCAGGTCCACGTGACCCTGTCTGTCCCACCCCACACCACAGCCAGGCTGGGAGGGCACAGAAGGGGCAGGATGCAGGGGCGGGGATGGAGGGTAGGTGGCAGAGGGAAGGCAGCAGAGTACATTTCTGGCAAGAAGGTCCCAGAATCCCTCACTGACCGGAAGGCAACACATGCTTTTCTCCCTGAAATTCAGTTGGCTTCTCTGCAAAATGGGCACATGCTGAATAAATGTTGGTAAGGATATGGAGCACTGAGAGTTCTCATCTGATGCTAGCCAGTGTAGATTGATTCACTTATACTGGAAAAATGTTTGGCATGATCTCCTTATAGAAATGGGAGAAAGTCTTCTCTCTCTCTCTCTCTTTCCTTTGGCATGATGCTTGGCAGGCGATATGTGACTGAGCTATACTTCCAGCTCCTCCCACCTTTTAAAATTTTAATTTGAGACAGGGTTTTGCTAAGTTGCCCAGGCTGGCCCCAAACTTTTCCATTTTCTTGCCTCAACCTCCAGAGTAACTCTGATTACAGATGTGCACCACCATGACATTTTTTGTTGTTGTTGTTCCTTAAATGGAAGTGAAATTCATGTGACACATGTTTAACATGTTCTAGTTTTTGAGCTCAGTGCTGGTTACTTGGGTGTGTTCTGTTGTGAAAATTCGTCAAGTTACATGGTTTGGTGCACTGTCCTGTATCTTACGCTTCAATAAATGTTTACTTGAAAATGGGGGCAGAAAAAAAGCTGTTATGATAAATGAGTGAGTCAGCATCACTATGGCCCAGAAGCTGGACAGGGGTGGGTTTGAGTGCCAGCTGGTCCCTCTCTCGCTATGTAACCTCAGACAAGTCACTTCCTTTGTCTGAGCCTCGGTTTCCTTATTTGTACAAGATGATAATATCAGTTTCAAAAGGTTCATCATGCGAGCCTTCGTTTATTTGACAAATGTTTCCTGAGTGCCTGCTGTGTGCTAGGTACTGAAGAAGCCACTGGGAACTACATGAACTTGGTTCCTACTCTCCTGGAGCTCCCAGTATATTGGGGGATACAGATAATGAATGCAAATAGAGGATGTTTCTCACTGGTGAGGTGGACTTGGAGGGAAATAAGGCTGAGCAGCAGTGATGCTCTTTGAGCTGGAAAAATTCAGGAGGACTTCTCTGTTCTTTGCAATATCTTTGCAACCTGAAGCATAAAAGAAATTAGAAGATCATACCAAGGAAAAGCAACAGTTTGTGCAAAGGCAAAGATAACAAGAATCCATGGAGTGGCAGGTGGGCATAGTAGTGCATGCCTGTAATCCTAGCAACTCTGGGGGTTGAGGTGGAGGGTCTCAACATCAAGGCCAGTGTAGGCAAATTAGCAAGATCCTATCTCAAAGTAAAAAGGGCTGGGAATGCAGCTCAGTGGTAGAGCATTTGTTTAGCATGTGTGAGGTCTTCGGTTCAATGTCCAGTACTGAAGAAAGAAGAAAAAAAAAAAAAAGAATCCATGGAGCAGGAAAGACAGGACTGACTCCATGGGTATATGGTCCTGGACGGTCACAAAGGACCCCAGACACAGAAAGGTCCCATGCTTAGTTTAACACTTTGCTGTCATCATCTTGAAATGCTTACTTTGAACAAGAGATCTTATATCTTTATTTCACACTGGGCCTTGAAAACTCTGTAGCCCTCTCTGAACAGGAGGGTCTTTTTTTTGTAATTATTTTTAATTAATTAATTAACTTTTAGTTTTTGGTACTGGAGTTTACCACTGAGCTACTTTAAAACTTTAAAAAATATTATATTTATTTATTTTGGGGTACTGGGGCTTGAACTCAGGGACACTCAACCCCTGAGCCACCTCCCAGCCTTATTTTGTATTTTATTTAGAGACAGGGTCTCACTGAGTTGCTTAATGCCTCGCTTTTGCTGAGGCTGGTTTTGAACTCGTGATCCTCCTATCTCAGGCTTCCGAGCCTCTGGGATTATAGGCATGTGTCACCACACCTGGCTAAAATATTTTTTATTTGAGACAGCGTCTTGCTAAATTGTTGAGATTGACATTTGTGATCTTCCTGCCTCAGTTTCCTGAATCATGAGGATTACAGGCATGCACCACTATACCTGGCAATTATTTTTATTTTAAAATTTTATTTATTTATTTTGTGGTGCTGGGAATCAAACCCAGGGCCTCATGCATGCTAAGCAACTGCTCTAACACTGAGCTACACTCCTGGTCCTATCTTTATTTTTAACTGATAAATTGTAATTGTATCCATTTGTGAAGTACAATGTGATGTTATGGTATATGTGCCACGTGGAGTGATTAAATCAAGGTGGCGGGGCTGGGGGGGGCCTTTAGTGAGAGCCAAAGACCCTTCTTCTGGAGCTGGATGTATTTATGCACGTGTACATACACCTCAGATATGTCCACCTTAGACATGTCATTCAGACCACACTCACACCACTCACTGTACACGTGTCAAGACTGTGTCCCACCACATCATCTGGGCCTTTACTCTTCTACTGTACACCAGCCCCATTCCCAGCTCCCAATACCCTGCATTTTTTGCTGGAGGATTTTCTCTAGCAAACTGAGACTAATTCACCCAGGGGACAAGCATTCCAAAAGTGCCATCAAATTAATACTTCCTCGTTGTCAATGACCCTCAACCTCTTGGGTGGGATAACTCTGAGATATGTGTCCTCCACTGTCCCCCAGTGGGCTTAAACCTTGGTTGCTCACAGTGGAAACTTGCTAGAAAACACATCTCTTCCTGGTTACTTCTCCTTCCCTGCTTTGCTTTCTCATTCTGCAACTGATATGTCCTGAGATAACCCCCCAATCAACCATTTGTACTAGATTTCTTTCTTTCTTTCTTTCTTTCTTTCTTTCTTTCTTTCTTTCTTTCTTTCTTTCTTTCTTTCTTTCTCTCTCTCTCTCTCTCTCTCTCTCTTTCTCCTTCTCCTTCTTTTTCGTAGCACTGGGATCAAACCCAGGGCCACCCACATGCTAGGCAAGCGCTGTACCACTGAACCATATCCCCAGCCCTTTGTATCAGCACTCTTGTCTTAGGGTCTGCTTCTGGGCAAAGTCAAACCAGGATGATGCATGCAAACACAGACAATGTGTGAACAAGAACTTCCTTTCCATGGTGTCTTTATTGGAGATCTGTGGCGGCTGGCAGGATCATTAGAGGTGGCTCCCTCTTGAATCTCTGGAAGGGCCTCCTGGTAGTTCTTAATTTTCAGTCTAGAAAAGACAGGACAGTATGATTCTTGGGGCTGTTTGTAGCTGGGTCTGCTCTCCCCTTGGGATCTTGGACATGGGAGAGGATCAGGGTTCAAAGTGAGGGAGTGAATATAAAACTGATTGCAGGCCAGGATGGAAAGATCAACAGCTTAATGAAATAGAGTGGTAGTTATACAAGTAGCATGATTGTCCAGATGTGTGTTGTTGTTGTTGTTTGTTTGTTTGTTTGTTTTGTGCTACTAAGGATTGAACCTAGGGCCTTGAGCATGCTAGGCAAACATTCTACAATTGTGCTATATCCCCATTCCTTTTCATTTTTATTTTGAGATAGTCTGGCTAAATTGCTGCGGTTGGCCTTGAATCTTGGATCCTCCTGCCTTAGCCTCCCCAGTAACTGGTATTACAGGTATGCACCACTACACCTGGCTAGTGATTAAGTGTTTTAGGGAATGAGGTCAGGGACTGGGATGAGGTCTTCAGGCAGAGATTGTGCTGGGCCTAGATTGCTCCAGTTCTCACCAGATTTCAGGGGCTGAACAAGCTTTCCTAGGGCTCAGATTATCTGGGCAACAGACAACTGGAGACTGGACAGAGGTTGTGAAGGCAAAGGAGTTTTGGGTAGAAAGCCAGAAGCTAGCTTTTGCTGAGGCTGGCTTTGAATTCGCCATCCTCCTGCCTCAGCCTCCTGAGCTGTTGGGATTACAGGCCTGAGCCATAGAGTCTGCTTTCTGGAATGAGTTTGTGCAGGCAGACAGGTTATGACTTGGATTTAGGTCATAAACACCTAGCTGAGGTTGCGAAGGCAGAGGGACGCTGGCAGGGTCAGGGCCCAGGCAATGGTGGGAGGGCAGAGATATTGGGGCCTAGGCAAAGAACAAAGTGGCTGGCTCAGGGTTTGGGCTGAGATTGTACAGGTAGAAGTTCCAGGACAGGGGATGTTGCCAGCAGGGACTGAAGACTGGGCTTTGCTTGCCAGAATAGGGTTGCAAATAAGATCTGAGCCTGGTTCGGTCTGTAGAGGCAGGGGATGACAGACAGGGGTCAGAGGCCACTGAGCTGTCTGTGCACGCAGAAGGGCGGCCATCTGCAGGAGTGCAGGCGGCGCAGACTTACCTCGGTGAAGTGCGGCCAGGTGCGCAGCAGACCAAAGAGCGCGTCACCCGGGCAGTCAGTGGCCACGAGCTGGCGGTGGCCGAGCAGCTTGTAGTCTGGTTGCAGGAGTCCAGCGCGTGACGCGCAACTCGGCAGCACTTCGCGCACCATGCGTAGTGCGGCCTCCGTGGGCAGTGTCGCCGTGTAGTTGCCCACGAAGGCCACGCCGAAACCACGGGAGTTGTGGCCGAGCGTGTGCGCGCCCACCCAGTGCCAGCCGCGGCCCTCGTACACGTAGCCTTCGGAGCCCACCACAAAACTTCAGAGGGGAAGGGGAAGGAGGCATCATGTGGCGTGAGCCAGGCTCTGCCCCTCATCTGAACCCTCCCCGAGATTTTGCCCCAGGGACAGGGGCCATCTGACCACAAGACCTGCCCAGACACACTGCCCCTAATCTATGCGGCTCAGTGCCACTCCCACACCAAGTGCCACCTGGGAAACTGACTTGCTCTCTGGATCCCCCTCTCAGCACTGGCCGCGCTTCTCCACTCTCTTCCCCTAGCCTCAAGTCCAGCTCTTGACCCATTCGCAGCTTTATTCTGGCTCGGCCTTCACTGTCCCATTCCAAACCCAGACACTACCACGGGGCCCATCCTTCGCCCAGGTTCTGCTTCCTGGCCTAGTTCTTTCCCCTCATCCAGGCAGCCCACTGTTTAGGTGTTTCTGACCTCTGTTAAGGTCCCCGTCCTTAGTCTAGACCACGCCCCCATTCTGGCTTGGCCCCACCCACCGCAAACTCCTCCTCCACCCTGTCAGGCTCCGCCCACTCACTCTATCCTGGATCTACAGCTCCGCCCTTGGTCTGGAGGGGAAGGAGGAGCCTGGGGAAGGGTCAGCTCACCTGTAACCGATGTCATCCCAGCCTCGCGTGTCCTGGTGGAAACGCTGCATGGAGCGCATGTTGGCTGAGCATCCAGTGAAGGTGGTGCAGGGTAGCGCTGGCACGTACGTGTGATGCACGTATAAGAACCCAAGCGGCAGCTGCAATGGCTTCGGGCGGCCCCGGTAAGGTGCCGCTTCCCAGCGACATCGGGGATGGATGGCTGGGCATCCTGTGGGCAAAGGAGTCCAACGTGGTGTCAGCAAGCGTTTCCTGCCTGTCGCCTGCAGCCTCGTTGAAGTGCACATATGGACCAGCCCTCCAGGATCTTCCCAGATTCAGTAAGAGTCACTGGGATCTGTTTTAAATCTAACAGCATTCCGGTCTTGTAGGGATACCCACTGTTTCCCATCAACTTCAGAATAAAGCTCAAGAATTTTAGCTCAGACCTCAAGGTCGGATGCTTTCTCCAGATGGCCTTGCCCTGAACCCTAGGGAGGGTTAGCCATGCTGACGGGGATGGGGGGGAATCTCAACCCATTTACTGAGCTCCTACTGTGTGCTACTTTCTTTTTTTTTTTTTTTTTTTTTCAGTACCAGGGATTGAAACCAGGGGCCCTTAACCACTGACCCACATTCTCAGCCCCAATTTTTTTTTTTTTAATGTTTGGAGACAGGGTCTCCATAAGTTGCTCAGGGCCTAAGTTGTTGAGGCTGGCTTTGAACTCAAAAATCCTCCTGCCTCAGTCTCCCAAGACACTGGGATAACAGGAGTGCATCACCATGCCCGGCATGTGCTACTTCTTAACCAACCAGCAAATCTAAGAGGTTGCAATGGCTTATCAGACTTTATTTAAGAATATAGGTTCAGAGAAGTGAAGTATCTCACCTAAAGGTGCACAGGAAAAACTGGGTGAAATCCCACTTGAACTTGTATGCATTTGCTGAACCCATTTCCTGGAATGCCCTTGCTACTGTTTGAATCTGGAATGTCCCCAAAGGCCTATGTATTAACAGCCTTGTCATCAGCTTGGTGATATTTAGAGGTGGGGCCTAATGGGATTAAGTTAAGTCATTGGGGGCCTGCTCTCCAAGGGGATAATGAGAACCTTGTCCCTAGTCTCTCTTTGCTTATCAGCTGCCATGAGGAGAGAAGCTTCGTCTGTCACTTGATACTTCTATCATTATGAACTGCTTTGCTACAGACCAGAAACAATGGGTTAACCCACCATGCATTGAAACCTCCAAAACTGTGAGCCAAAATAAACCATTCTTGTTTTAAGTTTCTTTATCTCAAGTGTTTGTTTTTTCAGTAACAGAAAGTATCAGAGTCCTCTTCCTTTTTTAAAAAAATCAGATGAACTCCTATTCATCCTTTGAAGCCCAACTTTAGCATTTCCTCACCAGTCCTGGCCCCCAACCCAGAGCCCTTATCATTGCCTCTAGACTCCCTTAGTCCCAGATCCCCCTGACCATGGGTCTGGGAGTGTCTGTATCTGTGAGGAGGGTCACTAGGGTAGGGGAACTTCTCACCCAAAAAGGCCTCGGTGAACTCCTTGGCAGCATAGGTGGCCACCTGGGCCAGCTGTTCTTGGCTCACGTTTTGCAGCTGGGTGTGTGCCGGCTTCAGTCTCTGTAGCAGGACAAGGGTCCCCCACACCTGCTGGGCCAAGGTGGAGGGTGAAGTGAGAGCAGCCCCATTCTGCCGTCGGAAGTTGCTGCGGAAGCCTGGGTCTCCAGCCACCCCTGCTCCATAGTATTGGCTCAGCAGGTGACTGAGGGGTGGCCGCGGCTCAGGGATTCGGCTCAGGTAGTCTCCAAGGAGGGCACCATCCAGTGCCCCATTGAGAAAGGCCATGGTGAGCATTGATGCCTTGGGGTCCAGCAGCGTGAAGATCTGGGGGTCAGAGAGCTGGTCCCAACAGCCCTCTGTCCCCAGGCCTGGAAGGCTCTGGGTCTGGGGAGGCTGGAGGAAAGTCAGGCCTAGATCTGCTGCGAGGGTGACTGCCAGGATTCGGTCCACAGTGGTGGGGGACTTGGCTTTGTCATTTGGTAAGGTGGCTTCAGTATCTGAAGAGGCAGCTCCAGCATCTGCAGAGGTTCCCTCTGGAGAAGCATCCCTGTGTCCTGGAGGGGTGGCTTCAGCATCCCAAGGGGTGGCTTGGCTGTCCAAGGGCAAGTTGACAACCCTGCGCCCCTGCAGTCCAGCTTCCAGCCCCGCCAGCAAAGGCTTCACAGCCACCGTGGAACCATCGGGGGCCAGCACCACCCCGTGTTCCTGCCCTCCCCGTATCTCGTGTTGGGCCACCATCTTCATCAGGCCTTGAAGCTCCGGACTCAGTGGGTGGGCATCCAGTTCAGCAGCTTTGTGACTTGGTGTCTCAAGCAGGAAGTGGTGAAGGGGATTGGAGGCGCCAGAGTCCTGGGCTGACAGCAGCCGTGCAGAGGCAGTTAGACTGACTTCCGTCACTGGCGCCTTCTGCTCCAGCTCAGCCAGGACCTGGATGACAGAATCCATGACCAGGGGCAAGGAGGCTGTGGGAGGAGAGAGTGCATCAGCTCAGCCATCCAGCCTCACCTGTCCCTGAGGGTCCCCTGCTGTTCCATGTCTTCCCAATGCCCATGCTAGTGCTCCATCTGATGATAACAGTGTGGCTCCCAGCCCTGTCTCTATGTAGAGGAGGAAACTGAGGCTCGGAGACTATTGCCTGCTGGTTGAGGGGCTTGGACTCTGAGCATGGTTGAGCTATGGCAAAATTATAAGCCAGAGAGAGAGACAGCCCGGCTGGCATCCTAAGATTATTCCTTTGGCTTCCATGTGACGATTGATTCTTAGGGTGCTAGAATACAGAAGGGGGACAGTGAAGAGGTGAGTACTGAAGGTGGTTGATGGCAGGGTGGTGGCAGTGTGATATACAGGACCCAGGAGTATCCCCATATATCTAGAGGGAAAGATGGACAGTCTCGGGTAACAGATTGAAGTTAGGGAATTTTTAAGGGAAGGGTATCTTCCAAGATGCCTAAGGGAGGAACAGGTGGATATGTGCCTTTTTTGGGTGGGTAAACTTGGAAACTAGAAGTGCTAGGTGACCTGACCCAGAGCTGGGTTAGGAGTGGGTTATTGGGTAATCGACAGTGTTTATTAAACATTTACCAGAACCACGCTAGGTGACTTATATAACTCATTTAATCTTCACAAGGCTATGAGATAGGTCTTATTAGCTCCCTTTTACAGATGAGGTGCCTGAAGGGTAGAGAAGGTAAGTTAACTACCTAAGGTCACAGAGCTAGGAAGTTGCAGAGGTAGGATTTGAAACCAGCAAGTTCACCCCATACCCAGGGCCTGTGCATGCTAGGAAAGCACTCAAATACTGAGCTCTACCCCAGCTCCAAACCCAGAGTTTTAATCCCCATGCTCTGCTGTCTAGAATCCTGGATTTTGTCCAGATAGTCCATTCTGTAATTCCTCTGTAATTTTGTTCTAGTTTGATGCCTTGGGGACCAGCAGCATGACCCCAAATCCTAGTTTTATGATTCTCTCCTCCAGGAAGCTTTTCCTAGTTTTTGCTTCCCAGTTCCCAGGCCTTTCTCCCTATCCCTATCTTGACTTGTGGGTTGGGAACATCTAAGTGGCCAGATTGAAGGATCCTTGAGATCCAGAGCTTCCTGTGCTCTTTGGCTTCACCCCATGCAGGGGCCGATACAGAAAGGGCCTCCCTATACTTCTTCAGAGCTGAGAGTCCTGGCCGTAGGTCTGTGCCTCTGACTTACCTGTTCCTGGCTTAGACCACACCAGAAATGCAAGCAGGATCCAGAGGACACCCTGGGCTGTCATCTTGGGGCTCCAGCTTCCAGGGGACATACCCAGTTGACCTCAGCAAAGTGCTCGGCAGTGCTGGAAGGTGATAGGCATGGACAACCAAGCAGAGCCTTTGGCCTCTGTCAAAAGTCCAGTGGTGAATGACACGGCTGTCCCCTTGCAGAGCTGGAGCGGGAGACAGTGGGGACACGGGAGCAGAGTGTTCTGGATCAAAGTCATCTGGGCCCCAAGGGCTCTTCCTTTCCTGTCCCTCCCAAGCTGATATTAAGGGTCAGTAAGCCAGGCCCCTACCAAGAGAGGCCTGAAGACCAGGTTGTTCTGACTCCTGCAAACTCTGCCCAATGTTGAGAGAGATCAGTGGAGGCCAATCCAGCAAGCCCTGCCCACTTCCAGCAATGACAGCTCTGAGGCTGCTGCTGGCCACAGAGGGACTCTCAGTTGCCTGCTAAAACTGGCTGTGCTGGGAGAGTGGGTTTTTCTAACTAGGTTTCTGTCACTGTGACAAAATACTGAGATCATCAACTAATGGGGAATAAAGGTTTATTTTGGATCTCTGTTTTGGAGGGTGTAGTCCATGGTCAGTTGTCCAGAGCAGTGAGGACTGCTGTGGGGCCTGTGGCCAGGCAGCCCATCATGGAAGGAGCACTTGGCAGAGGGAGTTGCCCACCTCGTGGCAGCTTGGAAGCAAAAAGAGAGACAGAAGGTGCCAGGGACCCCGTATTCCACAGGGTATGCTCTATGACCCTGATCTCCTCTCACTAGGTTCCCCCTCTTAGAGGCCCCACCATTTCCCAGTAGTGCCACAGGCTGGGAACCAAGGCTTCTATACATGGGTTTTGGGGGGATGCTTTAGATACAAACTAGAGCAAGCACCGAGAAGCCCAGGCTGGCCTTGACCCCCTGCTCCAAGTCTGGGCCCAGGCAAAGGATGGGTGCAGGACCTAAGAATTATTTTACCTGAGGCTTGCTCCAAGCCCCTGGGGATCGTGGTGATGTTAACTCTTACCCAATTCAGCCCCTGATCCCAAGACACCCGATGTAGCTGAGAGCTGGTTTTGTTTGAGGAGCTAGTTTATGGGCTTACCTGGATTGACAGTGCAGGGTCCTTCTTCTTCCCTAGGTGCTCATGGCTGTGTCCTACCAAATCAGCTCATCTCCCATTTATTCTGCCCTTAGATGGGGCGGGCTTGATGAGGTTGAACTGCTGCATATGTAATTAAATTGCTTCCCACCCCAAAACCTGCCCTAGGAGTTTTTAGGAATCCCACCGGGCTGGGGATTTAGCATGAGGCAGGCCCTGGGCGGGCCTGGAAAAGCCCAGACTGACCCAGGCCTGGAATTCCCCAGGGAGTCACCCCTGGGATCTGCAGTTATCAGTTAACCTCTTTCTGGGGACGCAGCATCACTCAGCACTAAGCTGGGCAGACAGTGGGGAGGCTAAGGGATTGAGTGAAGGGCGTCCACTCCCCAGGGAAGTCAGAAGCAATATCCTCCTCCAAGCCTCATGTTTCAAGGATCTGGAGGATGGGAGGGCTCTGCCTGGTAGAACCAAATGAAGATGTGGGCTGCAAATCACCCTGGGACAGTACTAGGGTAAGACATCTTCTTTGGGTGCAGTTGAAAACCTCAGTCATCAAGATGAATTAATTTTTAAGATGATTTTCTCCATTACTAAGAATTGAATCCAGGGATGCTTTACCACTGAGTTACACCCCAAACCCTTTTTATTTTTTATTTTGAGAGAGGGTCCCTCTCATTGCCCAGACTGGTCTTGAACTAGCCATCCACTTGCCTCAGCCTCCGGAGCCACTGGGTGTACAGGCCTGTGCCTCTGTGCTCAGCAAGACTAATCATTTTTTAAAGAGAAGTTTTAGGTTCATAGCAAAATGGTGCAGAAGGCACAGAGGTTTCCCCTAACCCCCTCCCACACATGCACAACCTCCCCCACTGTCAACATCTCCCACCAGAGTGGGACATCTGCTACAGTCGGTGACTAATGTGACACTTGCCATCACCCAAAGTCCATAGTCTACATCAGGGTTTGCTCTTGGTGTTGTGACTTCTATGAAATTGGACAAACCTAATGACACATATGACATCATAATGTCAATCTGAGTGCTTCACTGACCTAAAAATCCCTAGTACTCCATTTATTCATTTTCCCCTCCCCCTAAGCCACATGAGCCAATAATTATTTTCTTTTCCCCATGCTTTTTTGGACTGGGGATGTGGCTCAGTGATTATACATCTCTGGGTTCAATCCCTGGTACCAAAACAAGCAAACAAATCAACAACCCCACAAAAAGAATCTAACCCCCAATTTTGCCTTTTCCAGAACATCACACAGTTGGAATCATTCAGCACGTAGCCGTTTCAGACTGGCTTCTTTAACCGAGTCATTTGCATTTAAGGTTCCTGCTTGTCTTTCCGTGACTCTACAGCTCACTTTATTTTCTTTCCCTTTTTAAGTGCTGAATAATATTCCATCATTTGGATGTACCACTGTCTGTTCACTTACTGAAGGGATTTTTGGTTGCTTTCAAGCACTGGCAATAATGAACGAGGTTGCTATAAACATCGGTGTGCACAAAGTGTACACAAAATTGTACTTAAATTTTTAACTCCTCGGAGTGGAACAGGGAGTGATTACTGGATCGCATAAGAGGATGTTTACTTCTGCAAGAAACTGCCAAGGTGTCTTCCAAAGAAATTTCCAGGCTGCCTCATTTTGCAGCAGTGAATGGGAGTTCCTCTTGATCACCATCCGCACCAGCATTCAGTGTTCTGGATTTTGGCCCTTCTAATAGGTATGTATAGTATCTCATTTTTAAAATTTGCATTTCCCAGATGACACTATGTGGGGCATCTTTCCATATATATATATATATATATATATATATATATATATATATATTTGGAGAGGGGGGGTCTGCCCAGACCTTTGGCCTATTTTTAAATCAGATTGCTTATTTATTTATTTATTTTTATTGTGAAGGTTCAAGAGCCCTTGGTGTATTTTGGATCCCAGTCCCGTTAGGTTGGTTTGAGGTGGCTAAGGAACAAAGCACCAGGTAACCCGCAACACCTGTCAATCAACAGAGTCTCCTGATCAATCCTGGAAGGACAAAGATCTCAGCAAGATCCCCCAACCAACCCCAGGAGGACAAGGACCTCTAAAATACTCCCTTTGCTGTCCCAAACCTTCCCTTTCTGTCCTAGGCCCAATAAAATTCCAATCCGGCTGAGCCTGGGTGCGACTCTCCTGGACCCGCTCTATCGGTCTGGAGGGTCTCGCCTGGGAATTAATCTCAATGAAGCCTTGTTCCGCAGCTGTTAATCTGCCTCCTTTTGGTCACCGGTGCCTGACCTTACAAGTCCTTTATCATATTTGTCTTTTGCTGGTATTTTCTCCCGGTCTGTGACTTTTCTTCTCATTTTCTTGAGAAAAATAAATTTTGAATGCAATGTCTTTAAAGATCAAAGTGAATGCAAAGATTCAATGATAAATAAAATATTCAGATTTTAAATAAAACAGGATCAGTTACAGTTCTGTGCTGAGATAAATTGGAACCAGAGACAAAAGGAAAAATCAGGAATTCTGATTTCATCTTTCAGCTCACTTATCTTGTGCTAGTTCTGGCCGTATGGCCACCAGGCTTGGGAACCCAGGAGGCCGAGGGGCTGGCTCTTACATGAGCTCTCCTCATTGTGTCCACTGAATTTGGGAATAATCTTGATTCAGCATCAAGAACTCTGGGTTTGCTCCTCTGTCTCCCCACTGACAGGGGTTGTGGGGGGGCCCTGATGGTTTTATCTAACCACCCATTTATCCCCATTTTATCCATTAAGGAAGCTCAGAAAGGTTATGTAAGTTGCCAAAGGTCACACAGTTAGAACCCAGGGATGGGGAGGGCTCCAAACCTGACACTTGTTTTCATTATTCCCTGAGGTCTTCCAAAGTACCAGCCCAGGGGTGATCATGGCCAGAGTAATTATGAAGGGGAGAAGTTTGCAGATTGGCCTCAGAGCAAATTCAGAAATTCATGGGCCAGCCGGACAGGCAGCCCTAATTTCCTTTTTTTATTTGGTACCAGGGATTGAACTCAGGACACTCGACCACTGAGCCACATCCCCAGCCCTATTTTGTATTTTATCTAGAGACAGGGCCTCACTGAGTTACTTAGCACCTCGCTTTTGCAGGGGCTGGATTTGAACTTGTCAACCTCCTGTCTTAACCTCCTGAGAAGCTGGGATTACAGACGTGCGCCACTGCGTTTGGATAGCCTTAATCTCCTTTTAAATCTTGAACTGTGGGTATACCATAGTGGTAGAGCCCTTGCCTAGCAAGCAGAGGGTTCTGGGTTCCATCCTCAGCACTGAAAAAAGAGAATTGGAGAAGCTGCACTGGATCTGAGCCAAGGACATGTCCCAGGCAGTGGCCATTTCTCTTAGGGTCTGTCTGGGGTTTGTGACTTTCTGGAGGAGAATCCCCTCCAGAAGACTCCATGACTGATTGCCTCTGGGCTCCCTGGCCTGAGGTGCCTCGCTTTGATCCAGGCCGGGGTCTTTCAGGGCTTTGAGTCTCTGTGTAGATCTGTCTTCCCCAGAGTGGGAGATGCTGAGTCTTTTGGGGGTACCCAGAATTACCCAACACAGACTCAGGACCAAGTGGGTGTCCAGGAGGATTTGTTGAGTAAAATCTGATGGAGGAAGATTGTGAGGTCAGTTTGGGGCTGGGCTCTGAAACACACGCACAGGTACACACACATCCAAGCACCCACACACCAAGGCACCTGGGCAGGACTGGGCCTGGGTGGCAGCAGAAAGACTGGGGATCCCATGATGAGTCACCCTCTACCCCAAGTTTCCCTCTCATCTCTGAGGTCCACCTTCTAGGAGAGATCAAGACCCCTCAGGTTGCAGGCAGATCAGGGATCTCTTGAGAATAACCACTGGCTAGGGAGTGGGGCCAGCTCCTATGGAGATTGTATTGGTGGCACAGACAGGCAGAGCTCTGGGCCCTCCAATCAGTCTGAGACCATCTTAACCCTTCTTACGTGTGCAGTTCACCAGGGTTAAGTACATTCATATTGTTGTGAAGTTCACCTTTGTACTTTTTTTCCCCCCAGTACTGTGCTAGGGCCTCATGCATGCTAGAAGCACTTTCCCACTGAGCTACATTTCCAGTCTTTTGATTTTTTAAATGTTGAGATGGGATCTATTAAGTTACCCTGGCTGGCCTTGAACTTGCAATTTTCCTGCCTACAGGAATGTACCACTGCTCTAGGGTTAGACCCTTTTTTCCTCCCTCCCTCCCTTCCTTCCTTCCTTCCTTCCTTCCTTCCTTCCTTCCTTCCTTCCTTCCTTCGCCGGGGATTAGACCCACAGCCTTGCACATGCCAGGCAACTGCTCTATCTCTGAGCTACAACTCCTGTCCCATTCCTTCACCTTGCAAAACTGACTGTACCCATGAACTTATTTATTTATTTATTTTTAACTTAACAAGATATCATGAAACTCTCCATTATACGAAACACTTCATGATATTATTCTCCATCATCTTATTATTGTTGCTATTTTTCAGTAAGGGGGATGGAACCCAGGACCCTGTGCATGCCAGGGCATTGTGCCACACCCTCAGCCCTCCCATCTTGTTTTTAATGGGTATGTAACAGAACACAGTGGGTACACTCTTTGGTGAGTACAAAGCGGATAAGCACAACCAGGAGATAAAACAGTTTATCCCTTGCAGCAAATAAGGAGTGCACAAGGGATAATTCCCAAAGTGGTGTCTCCCCGAGCAAACAAAGCAAGGGGTTTTTATGGGGAAACTCATACATATTCATATTCATGCAGCAAAATCTTGTCATTGCATGTAGAGGCAGGCACATTCTTGGGCTTGCTCAGTTCCTTGTCAAGCTTCTTTATATGTCACACATTCAAAAACAGCAGGTTTGAGAATGCCTTCGGGAGGAGATTTTAGTATTATCATGAGCAAAATTTACTCCAGGTCACCTAAAAGGGGTGAGGTAGAATGCCCTGATAATTTTTGCCAGCTCCTTGTGAGTTTATCTGGCAGCCCCCATCTGAAACAAAAAGCAACTTTAGAGGCAGGTTTGCAGTCATTTATGGGGCAACGCTTTTTCTTGCAATCTTAGGTGGTTGTCTCTGAAAGCATCTGCCTCGTGGCTAATGGGTTTGGAAAACTCCCCACTCCCCATTGGTGGTTTAGTGTTCACAGTGTTGCGCAACCATCGCATGTACCGATGTTCCAAAACATTGTCACCACTCCAAAATAAAACCCTGTCCCCATTTGTCCTCTTTAACAATCCCTCTCCATTCCCTTCTCCTGGAACCTTTGGCAACCACTAACCTGCTTCCTGTCTCTATGGATGTACCTGCTCTGAACAGGTCACTGTGGGACCTTTTATGTCTGGCTTTTTTCACTTGCCTTCATTTTTTTTTTGTACCAGGGATTGAACACTGGGGTGCTTAATCACTGAGCCCCATCCCAGTCCTTTTTATTATTATTTTTATTTTGAGAAAGGGCCTCACTAAGTTGCTGAGGGTGGCCTTGAACTTGCAATCTTCCTGCCTCAGCCTCCCTAGTAACTGGGATTATAGGCATGTGCCATGGCAAGTGGCAGCAAGATGTTTTCGAGGTTCTTCCACATTGTCGCATGGATCATTTTTTATCTTTTTTATGGCTACATAATATCCCATTGCATGGAAGGACTGTAATTTGTTTATGCAATTGGTTTAGTTTATTGGAACACATAATTCCCACTCATTTACACATTATCTCTGGCTATTTTCATGCTATAATAGCCAGAACTGAATTACAAAGCTAAAATATTTACCATATGGCCTTTTAATAAAAAAATGTGCTACAGGAGGATCTGAAGCTCAATGTGAGTAACACAGCATGACCAACCAACCCATCTCAAAAAAAAACCAAAAGTTTGTTGGGGTTTTGGCTCAGAGGTAGAGCACATGCTTAGGAAGAATAACAAGAAGCAGCCTCAACAAAAGTGAGGCACTTAGCAACTCAGTGAGACCCTGTCTCTAAATAAACTACAAAATACAGCTGGGGATGTGGCTCAGTGGTCGAGTGCCCAGAATAAAAAAAAAAAAAAAGAATAACAAGAAGTTTGTTGACCCCTGCTGAACCAGCTCACCTGGATTCAGATTCTTGCTCTGTAGCTCACCAGCTCCACCATTTTCATCTCTAGGCCTTACTTTGTCCATCTCTAAAGTGGGAGAACAGTACCAACCTCATAAGGTAGAATGAGGTCACATGCATACAATGGTTGGGATGGTGCTTAGCAGGTGGGGAGTTGGGGACAGTGGCAGTCCGAGCTCTTGCTGACCCTGCCTACCTCAGCCTCCCCAACAGAGATTCAGTCCAGCCCATGGAATAATCCATTTAATTATTAGTTTGTCCACACTCCCACACCCTAGGTAAGTCTAGGTTCATAGTCACATATTATTTCTGCATCTGGGGCATCTGTCCAAATGCAGAGCTTCCCTGCTGGCCCCCAGCACCCCAGCAGCCAGCAGAAGCCTTGGGGCTGGGCTTGGAGCCAGTCTGAAGCTGCAGCCAAATCATTAAATTGGTCGAACTCCATCAGCCTAAGGGAAAAAGCAAGTTGTGGTTCAAGCTGTTGACCCTGCTGCCTCCAGGAAGGCAGAAGTTGACATCAGTTTTATTTTGCTGGAAGAGCAGAGGTGAGATTTAATCTCTCAGGCACCTGCCCTGGAACTGGAGAGCAGGGAGTTTTGTCATTGAGGACACAGGATATTGCACAGATAGTCTGAGCTCAGTCCTTAGTGGTGTGGAGGGGCATGAGTGCAGGGTGGGTGGGACCATGGTGGGCACTCGCTGGGGGGACATTGACCATGTACCACAGGCTTCTAGTTACCGCCAGCGTCCTCAAGAGAATGACACAGGGAAAAGTGTTTTTATTTATTTATTTATTTATTTTTGGGATGCTGGGCATGGAACCGAGGGCCTTGACCATGTCATGCGGCCTCTGGTGGTCCCTCAGGCCTCTAGCCACCTGTGTGCAGGACTGGCCCTGCCAGGTGAGACAAAGCCCTGGTTATCTGTTGGGCATTTCTGAGAATAGAGAGCCCCGCCTTGCTCTCTCTTCTGGTCACAATCTGAACATAATCTCAATGTACAAGAAAGTTACAAGAACAATACAAGGAACAGCCCAACACCTTTAGCCCCCACATTGGCTGCGTGAAGTCCCCCTGCACCCACACACATTCCCTCTGGACACCCCCAGCCCTAAACCTTTTTTTTTTTTTTTTTTTAAACAGGGACTGACTGTATTGCCTAGGCTGTCTTCCAACTCCTGGGCTCAAGTGATGTCCACACTCCCATACCCTAGGTGAGTCCAGGTTCATGGTCACATATTATTTCTGCATCTGGGGCACCTGTCCACCTGCTCAGCACCCC